AGAATCAATCTAGGATTTGTTTTGAAAATAACATTTATATGAGGTGTAGAATTAATATCAAGGGATTTTAAATCACATGAGGTACATAAAAATTGGGCATGACCCAACCGTAACAGGGAGAGTTGACCCGCTCAATTTTTATATACGCTCCTATATCAAACAATAATATTGAAGAGTTGAATTAAAGCAGCGGAAATACATATACAACACTCAGAATCATAAGGTTTACAGCAGAGTTCACAAAATATCAGAATAGCAGAAAAGCTAAAGGGATCAATAATACAACACATAGTCTGATAGTAAGCTACAAGATATATTATTACATATCCAACTACTTAAAAGTACCACAAAAGTTAAACACGAAAATTACTTCTACTTTGGCTGCAATAGGAGCCAATCCTCTTTGTCGTGGTTTGCAATCGCCTTGCTTTTATCTACTTTGTGAGCTGCGAATGGATGTAGAAATAATAGGGTTGAGCATAAAGCCCAATAGGCAACTATGAAATTATCGGGTACGACATAAGGGGAAAAGAGAGGAATATATATATATATGAGAAAAATGGGTATGCTTGGAACCAAGCACAAATTTTGTACTTGGTAGTGATGTGTCACATCCTCATCCACTCACTATCCATGTGAATGTGGTCCTATATTTGAATGAGTAGAGGGGGATGTGACACATCACTACCAAGCATACCCATATTGCGCTCTCTCTCTCTCTCTCTCTCTCTCTATATATATATATATATATATATATATATATATAGAGAGAGAAAGAAAGATTTAAAGTTAAAACGTCTAGATATTAGCAATAAGCCACTAAAACTCATAAAATGATTGTTATATCGAAATGAAATAATAGATATCAATAATGAATAATTAAGCTCTAATATTCAGGATATTAAATTTCCCCAATCATGGGATAAATCAATAAAACACGCATAGTTTTGTTTATATACCCACCGGTGAGTGTCCTCACGTAGGTCAATGTCCCCACCAGTGCTCACTTTCATTTACCACCCATCGGCAAAGCTTACTTCACACAGAGAATAACCAATGAACATAGACTAATAAGCCAACAAATTAAAGAATACTGAACATAGACTAATAAGCCAACAAATTAAAGAATACTACCATTCTCAACAATAGAGTCGTCGAGGCAAGATGAATTATCATAGGATAATCATTTATGGAAAATGACATAGTATCAAAATGAATAAACAATAGTATAGCAATAGATATGCAATTGGCAATTAGTCCACACATAAAGAAATCCAAATAGGCTTTTAGCGAAGCAAAATAGTATACAATTGAGTATCAAAATTCAACTTATAGGATTTTTAAGGAAATAAACAACCAAACTCTCAACAAATTGAGAGAGAATAAGGAAAGATTACCTACTTTTTATGACGAACTCTTCGGCACTATCAAATAGTTTCAAGAGGGTCGCTCCTGTATATACATACATGTACATCCACGTAAGGGTCCACATACATGCTTAAAAAGATGCACATGACTATATGCAATGCATGTTCATCAATGGATAGCAATCAGCAGTTTATGTCATGTTTTTTTATTGCAAAACAGTTAGCTAAATAGGGTCCAAAATGTATACACATAGGGTCATTTTACTCTTATATGAGTCTACTTCCTAAAACATCAAATTTTGCATTAATTAGGCGCCAAAGACGATGTTATATACACAGATACATAACATGCACAAGTTTGGGTACAACACGTATTGGAAGATACACAGAACTACTTGAGAGTCCAAACAATGTTCGAATACAATGAAACCAGAGTCAAAATGTTTATATATGAATCCACTTTTCAGATGAGGGTGTGTATGATGTGTATGGAGATGTGACATCAAAAGTATATAGTTGTTTATAGGTAACAAAGTATAGATTCCAGATTACAAGCCCAGTGTTTTTTACTGGTTTTGGTCAACCAAAATGTATTCAAAATTGATAAATTTCTTGCTGAAAGAATCATGATATGATTATTTTCTAATTTAAAAGTTCTTATTATCATATCCCAAATATAGGCAAATATAGAAGTAATTAAATAGAGAGGTCAAACTATCAGTCGAGGACACATGAATTGACTTTAATCATAGATTCTAACTAGCAAATTACGCCCAAATTAGGCCAAACCAAATGCAATTGAAAGATACATGAGTCCAGTTTCTAAAACAAAATATTGTTAGAAATGGACATATGTAAGGAGAGCTATACTCTTTACAACGCAAATGTGGTAGGATTGGAGAATCAGGCCAAGAACAGAAAACACCCTCATATCTCTCTAACTTTTCAGGTATTATTTATCATTAAAGTGCAACCATATTTACGATGTAGGTAATTTCATAAAGTTAGTTTCAAATTCTAAAATTTTCTTTACTTAGTCAAAACCAGAAATAGAGATACATAGAAAACACCCCAAGAAGGCAGACTGTATTTCCAGTGCATATGCATTGAATTTAGGCTACAAATTGAGATAGCAATTTAAGTCTAAATTAAGCCAACCTAGATTCAACAGAAAGGTACATGAGTCTAGTCTCCGATAAAGAATACCGTTCTCATAAAGAGTATCTTTAGAGGAAGATATACACAAATAACTATCAATATCTTCTGCAAGAATGTTATGAGATTATGACCAAAATATGGACATGCAAGCCATAAATCTTCACATGCATGTCTACCAAGTTATCAACCAAAGTAAAAACCATTACAATTCCATATTAAGGGACTAAGAAACATGCAAGATCACATTTGGTTTGATTGAAATGCATAAAGATGTGGTCTTTTACACTCTAGAACGAC